TCATCTTCTTCTTCATCATCGTCATCATCATCATCATCATCATCATGGCACGCACTAAAATTCAACGTATAGATACCGATTGCAGAACCTTAGATCTCATTTTAATTAATCATAACCATCATTGTCGTCGTCATCACCATCATCATCATCATCTTCCTCCTCATCATCATCATAATCATCATCATTCTCCTCATCGTCATCATCATCATCTGAGTTTTACATAGAGGGGCGCTATATAAATTCTCCATACCATACCATACCATCACCATTCTCCTCATCGTCATCATCATTTTCCCCATCGTCATCAACATCATCATCACCGTCGTCGTCATCATCATCATCATCATCTCCCTCATCGTCATCATCATCATCTTTCTCATCGTCATCAACAGTGGCACCAAAGCGTGACGCATCACATGTTTACGTCATCTGACATCTACGTCATCGTCTTCAACGTCACCCAGAGACATTGTTTTGAAAATCTGGCGGCATATTGGGGCATGATTATGCACAGGGTATGTTTGTTTATATGTTTGTTTGTATGTATGTATGTATGTATGTTTGTATGTATGTATGTATATATGTTTGTATGTATGTATGTATGTTTGTTTGTATGTTTGTATGTATGTATGTATGTTTGTATATATGTATGTATCACATGTGTAAAGATTGAATGTATATAAAGATATACATTGTCCTTCTGAAACACCAATCTAAGTATGAAGCCAGTATGAAGCCATAAGGCCAATTGTTATATCACATTAATGCTTGTTGAAAGTCTTATTTACACCAACAAATAATAATTAAGTGTAGAAACACATAAAAGAGGCTAAAAGACATTCCTTTGTTTTCTTTCTGTAACTCAAATTTGAAATGGTTGAAGACATGTAAAATATACTGCCAAATTCAATAACTAATTTAGTTTTACTAATTTTATTGTAGTTTAATGCTCTCGACAAACATAACTCCAGAGATAAATTGAAGTCGAAAACAAAATGAGATTATTAACCAAACACCATTTACATAGCTTTGTTGATTTCACCCGATTTCCCATGGTGGTTATCTTCTTTGTTGAAGCACACGTGTTAGTCTGTGTTGTGTATGCGTCTATCACATGTGCACGAGTCTATACACATATATAAATACAAGATTCTATAAATTCTACCGAACGTTTAGCGTTAATATGTTTGTAGTTCGTTTTTTCGATTTTTCTCACTTTAGTGAGAAAATGAGAAAAATCGAAAAAACGAAAAATCGAAAAAAAAAACGAACTACAAACATATTAACGCCAAACATTCGGTATAATTTATAGAATATTGTAAAAATTATGGTCTATTACCAACATATATAAATACGTATATAGGCTTTTATTTTGCAAGTAGATGTCATATTTCTATTTTTCTCCATTCCCACCTGTCCTATGTATGTATATAGGTATGTTTTTACAATATTCTATAAATTCTACCGAATGTTTGGCGTTAATATGTTAATATTTGGTAAAAATTATAGAATATTGTAAAAATTTGTAATCTTATTTTGTGATCAATGTTATTCTATATTATTCCTATTATTCGTAACGCTAAACGTTCGGTAGAATTTATAGAATCTTGTATTTATATATGTGTATAGACTATTATGTAATCTTATTTGTAATCAATGTTGAGGTTTATTACCAACATATATGTATGTATGTATGTTGGTATGGGTGTATGTATCTATTAGTACGTGTGCGTGTGTGTGTGTGTTTCATTGGTTTTTGTTCATTCTATTCTAAATTCATCTTATCCTTTATAAGTTTGTTCATTCGTTTGCTTCTTTGCTTGTTCATTCGTTCGTTCGTTCATTTATTTGTTCGTCCATCAATCCATCACTCACTCATTCATTCATCCAGTCATTATACTCTTTCCTATCTTCAGGTACCTAACCCACAAATGATCATGCTCGGTGTCGTCAGCAAAAACAACAACAATAACAACAACAAGAATAACAAGAACAACAACAAAAATAACAATAATAACAATAAAAGCAACAACAACAAAAATAATGACTTTAAACGAATGAAATCTGACGGACTATATTACATAAGGTTATTATTATTATTATTATTATTATTATTATTATTATTCATATTTTATTATTATTATTATCATTATCATCATCATTATTATTTTATTATTATTATTATTATTTTCACCAGGGAAAATCAGGCCAGAGCTATTATTAATATCAATAAAGAAATTACCCACCTGAGGTGATGATAGTGACGACGATGATGATAATGATGGGGAAGATGGTGATGATAATGATGGTGAAAATGGTGATGATGATGATAGTAATGATGATGGTGATGATGATCATGATAGTTAAGATGTTACATATGCGAATAAATTTTTGAGTCCCTCTGTGTCCGTTCAATCTTTTGTAATTCGTTCTTTTGCCAGTTCATACTTTCCTTCCTTCGTTCGTTCATTCATTCATTCACTCACTCATTCACTCATTCCTCCATTCGTTTATTTTTAGCTCCCTCTATAAAGATCCAAAAATAGACTTGGAAATCTCCAAACTAAAAACTCTACTCTCGTTCCGCCGACCAATCACAGATGACTATCCAGAATTTATTTTCATCCACCATAATGACAACGACGATGATGAAGAGGATGATGATGATGTTAGGGTTAGATGATGATGATGTTATGGTTAGATGATGATGATGATGATGTTATGGTTAGATGATGATGATGATGTTATGGTTAGATGATGATGATGATGATGAAAGCGATGGAGATGATGATGATGTTGAAGTTTTAATTAATATAAAAAAATAAACTTATCCTAGGAAATTTTGGATTTGAAAGAGAGGCTGATGGATTACTTTTTTGCAAAAAATGACGCCATAAAAATAACATCAACAACATCAACATCATCAACAACAACAACAACAACAGAAAAATCTATTAAAACCTGTAAATCAACCAGCAAGAATTCATCACCATCGTCATTGTCGTCGTCAACGACATTAACGCAACAACAACAACAACAACAGCAACAACAACAACAACAACAACAGCAACAACAACAACTACAACAACAACAGCAACAATTACAACAACAACAGCAACAACAAATAAATTACATCAGAAAGGACAGCCTTAAACCATTATTCGTCAATTTTTTGCAGTTCATTTTTAAACTTAGGGATGAAAACATGACAATATTAACGCTGAAAGCTTTTGAAAAATTATACAACAACAACAACAACAACAGTAACAATAACAACAACAACAACAACAATAACAATAATAACAACAATTTAAACCAAGATTTCAAAAAATGCCTGAGATTTGCAGTTCAAAATGTACGTTGATGTTGTTCTTTAATTGTTTTTAATAAATTTTTAAAATTTTTTTTCCCATCGGGCGCCATCAAAACCCCCCTTTTAACATTCCCCAATTCAGGGTTATATTATTGAATTTACCTTCAAACTGCCAGCCAATCACAAGCGTCCTTTCAAACCTCGAAACTTCCAACGCCCAATAGAATTCCACCATCAATTTATAGTAACAAACCCGTGCAAATTCGTCAGAGTTACAAACGACCTTCACCTTGATTACATCAGCCAATCAAACTTTACGATACATTCGAATAAATTTTGGCCGAAGCTCATTGGCTACAAGGTTCCGAGGCCTCAAATTTTATTGGACGCTTTTAAATCCATATATAGATTTGGGGTTTTAAGAGAATGGATCATTCCGATCATTCTGCAGGTTGTGACGATGATGCTGTTATGATAATGATGGTGGCAATTATGATGATGATGGTGATGATGACGATGATGATTATTAGAATGATTTTGATAAAGTATAATTATAAAAAAAATAATCATATTTGTTATTATCAAAATAACTATAAAACTTGGAATAATAATACATACGTCGACGAACTACAAAAACACCAACATCATTACCATCACCGACAACATCATTACCATCACCAGCATCCTTACATCATTATCATCACCGACAGTAATAATGATAATAATAATAACAACAACAATAGGACCATAACATTGACGAATGTCAGTTAGCTCTTCTTCTACAGATATGGCAAAAGTTAGGAGTACTATTACCAATACCGAATAATAACAACAATAATAATAACAATAATAATAATAATAACAATAATAATAATTATTATAATGGAAATAATAGTGATTATGATGACAATAATAATATTTTTCTTCATAATTTTGAAAATATTTCTCCACATTCCTCCTACTATTTGACGCATACGAACTTGAATGACAACAAAAAACCGGTAAAATATTATTATTATTATTATTATTATTATGACGTCATGATCATCGTCGTCATCCTCTTCAACATTGTCATCAGGCAATCAACTGGAACGTTCGGCCAATCAGAGGCGACTTTCAGATCACGTGGCGTCTGGAATTCCCTAACTCAATACCCTACCCCATTAAACAGACGATCGTGTTTATCGTCTGCGCAAGCCTATTGGCTAGAGATTGCTGTCTATTTATATCTTTTTGGCGCCAGGGGCTGCTGTTCAAATGTGGAATGGTTGGTTGGTTGTGTGGCTGGTTAATTGGTTGGTTGGTTGGTTGGCTGGTTGGCTGGCTGGCTGGCTGGTTGGCTGGTTGATTGGCTGGCTGGTTGGTTGGTTAGTTGGTTGGCTGGTTGGTTGATTGGTTGGTTGGTTGGCTGGTTGGTTGACTGGTTGATTTATTGATTGATGAGCTGGTTGATATTTAGATCATCAAACTCTAACGAAAATGTATCAAACACCAAAAATTACAAAATTCACCAAACTTCCATGGAATCTAGGTCACCATCCATGCAGAGAGCGAATCAAAACTCTTGAACATTTCGTGCAGAGTCAACTCCGAAGAATTTGACGACCCGAATTTGTGCTCTGACCTAATTTGGTGCTACCTTGCACCAATCGTAGAAGAGTTTCGCGACCTAGTTCAACGGGATTGGCCAGCATTTTTTTATAAGGTTGATGCAAATTCAATGTGATTATTTTACACACACACACACACCACACACACACACACACATACACTCAGACACACACAGAACAGAACACACACACAGATACACACACAGAGATACACACACACACACACACACACATACAGTCATACTTAGTGCCATTAGGAACAGCATTGTACAAGGGCGATACCATTTCAAACGAGCGTAGTTTTTCATTCTGGTTCTGCCTCAGCTGTTTCTCCCTGGGGTCAAAGGTCGCGTTCGTCGATGATAACATTAGCAGGGAGCTAGATTTGAAGGCTTTGATACCGTTCAATGGTTTGTATGTTCATTCGTTCATTCATTCATTTATTCATTCATTCATTCATTCGTTCGTTCATTCATTCATTCATTCATTCATTCATTCATTCATTCATCCACTCATTCATTCATTTATTCATTCATTCATTCATTCATTCATTCATTCGTTCGTTCGTTCATTCATTCATTCATTCATCCACTCATTCATTCATTCACTCATTTATTCACTCATTCACAGTTGACGAACACAGCAGTATGGAAGACTTACTAGCAGGCATAACCACAACACGGCAAACTATAATAAGCCTGCTAACCAGAGAAGACAACGACGATGATGACGATTACAACAAAAACAACAACATCATCAACAACAACAACAACATCAACAACAACAACAACATCATCAACGACAACAACAACAACAGCAACAACAACATCATCATCAACGACAACAACAACAGCAACAACAACAACGACAACAACATCATCATCAACAACAACAACATCAACAACAACAACAGCAGCAACAACAACAACGACAACAACATTAACAACAATGGCAGTTTTAATAAGAGGCTTAAATGGAAAGGTGGAAGGAGAAATAAAAGAATAAACTTACGGGTTATTATTATTATTATTGTTACCAGTGTTATATTATTGTTACTGTTATTATTATTATTATCATTGTTATAATTATTATTGTTATTTATTATTATTATTATTATTATTATTATTACTTTTCGATATAGGTAACATGGAAGCTGGACGATGAAAAAGACATTTTAAATAACAACAACAACAACAACAACAACAACAACAATAATAATAACAACAATAATAATAATAATATTAATAATAGTGATATAGATTATTTTATAAAAATTTTAAAACCTGGTTGCAACAGTGAAGATGACGACGATGATGAAGATGATGAAGATGACAACTTACATGCATGTCGTCATGCCAGAAAGGTAATGACGATGATGATGATGATGATGACGATGATGATGATATTAAAACAAGAATTAATTAGTTAATTGATCAATTAATTGAGCAAATGATGATTGATTGATTGATTGAATAATTTTCAAGATTTTGAAAGATAGTCAATCGCAGACGGAATGGACGTTTTTAACTACTACTACTACCTCTACTACTACTACTACTACTACTACTACTACTACTACTACTACTACTACTACTACTGCTACTACTACTACTGCTACTACTACTACTGCTACTATATCGTCAGCAATCGCAACAGAAGCAGCAGCTATGGCATCAACAATTTTTCCGCCAATTTCCACCCAATCAAACGCTCTTGTATTCTATGAAGAACGCAAACACAATAAATCAAAACAACAACACATTGGTTTTCCGCCATTATTCAACAACAACAACATAAACAACAACAGCATCAACAAAAACATTAACAACAATAACCTCAACAACAATAACAACAACAACCTCAACAACAACATCAACAACAACATTAACTACAACAAACTCAACAACATTAACAACAACCTCAACAACAACAACAAAATCCGCATTTATAAACGATATAGTTTCTCAACTGTTAAAAGACATTCAGCCTCGCCATCGTCGTCGTCATCATCGCCGAAGTCAAACTACTACTATCATCATCATCAACAACAACACAACAACAACGACAAAAATAATAATAACAAC